TTACTGGCTACCCTTCTTGAACACCGCTACGCTACCTTGCCGGAAATATCACAGGCTACGCGCCGCTACTTTTCAGGAATGCCACAAACTAGTTTACTGGTTACCCTACTTGAACACAACTACTACAAGCAAATGCTGCTACGTTGCCGGAAATACCACAGGCTACTTCCCGCGACAACAGGCTAATTCCCGCAAACTACCTGCCGCTACCTTGCCGGAAATACCACAGTGTACGCGCCGCTACTTTTCAACACTATAACTAACTAATTTACTGGTTACCCTACTTGAGCACCACTACTACAAGCTACGCGCCGCTACCTTGCTGGAAATACCCCAGGCTAATTCCAACTACCACTGACAACTTCCCGCAAACTACATGCCGCTACCTTGCCGGAAATACCACAGGCTACTTCCCGCGACGTGTTAGGAGTACCACAGGCTACTTTACTTGCTACTTTTCAGGAATGCTACAAGCTAATTCACTGGCTACCCTACAGTACTTGAACACCACTAGACACTAATACGTGCTAATTCCCGTTATCTTGACGGAAATACCACAGGTTACGCGCCGCTACCTGTCAGGCACAACAATATTTATTGGCTGTCCTACTGTTACAAGCGAATTGCCGCTTCCTGTCAGGAATGCCACAATCACAAGCTAACTCCAACTACGACCTGGATGGACATACCACGAGCCTGTTCCCACTACCTTGCCAGAAATACAACAGGTTACGCGCCGCTACTTGTCAGGAATGCCACAAGCTAGTTTAATGGCTACCCTACTAGAACACCACTATACTACAAGCAAATTGCCGCTGCCTTGCCAGAAATACCACAAGCGCAAATTCCCGATACCACAAGCTAATTCCCGCGCCGGAAATACCACGGGCTAATTTCTGCAACCTGTCCTTGCCGGAAATACCAGGCTAATTCCCCCTACATGTCGGGAGCTAGTTTACTGGCTACCCTGATGTTACAAGCGAATTGCCGCTACCTTGACATGCTAATTCCCGCTAGCTTGCCCAAAATACCACAAACTACGCGCCGCTACCTGTCAGGAATACCGCAAACTAGTTGATTTGCTACCATACTGTTGCAAGCGATTTGCCGCTATCTTTCCAGAAATACCGCAAACTAGTTCCCGCTACCTTGCCGGAAATGCCACAGGCTACGCGCCGCTACTTTTCAAGAATGCCAGAAGCTAGTTTACTGGCTACCCTACTGGTACACCACTACTACAAGCAAATTGCCGCTACGTTGCCAGAAATACCACAAGCGCAAATTTCGGCTACCACAGGCTATTTCCCGCAGGCCACCTTGCTGGAAATACCACAGGCTAATTCCCGCGACCTGTCAGGAATACCACAGGCTAGTTTACTGGCTACCCTACTGAACACCAAATCTACAAGCAAATTGCCGTACCTTGCCAGACATACCACAGGCTAATTCCCGCTACCTTTCAGGAAAACCACGAGCTAGTCTACTGGTACCCTACTCGCACACCACTACCACAAGCAAGCTGCTGCTACCTTGCAGGAAATACCACAGGCCAACCCCCGCTACCTTTCAGGAATACCAGAGGCTAATTTAACAGTTGTCGCCACCCTGGCGTGCCACAGACGAATTGCCACTACCTTACTAGAATATCACGCCGCTACTTTACTGGAATACCCAGGGGTACGCGCCACCTGGCGCATGAATTGACAAAGTGCGCTTGCACCACTCGGGATCAGTTGGGTTAATAGGCTCAAAACGTACGTACCACTTGGGTCAGTTGGGTCAAGCGCCAGGTGGGCTAGGCCAGGCCAGGCTTTGGATAAATTGACAAGCTGCACTTGCACCACTTGGGGTCAGTTGCGTCAGTTGCGCCACTTGGGGCAGTTGGGTGAATTTGCCCAAGACGTCGGCACCACTTGGGCCAGTTGGGTCAATCGCCGTGGGCAACTGACCCAGCTGACCCAAGTGGCGCAAACGATTATCGCAGTCCCCTGCTCTTCTGACGCAATTGACCCAACTGACCCCAAGTGATGCAATCGACTAAGAGTTGTTGCTCCCACCCGCAATTCGATGACCGCTGCTCCTCTGCTCTTCCCCAACTGTTCCCCTCTGTCGGAAGCCAGGCAAGGGCTGCTAAATCCGTGGCTGCTAAAATCGACCCCCGGAAATTGTCTTCGTCCTTCCGGGAAGAAGCCCGTTGACTGTTTCGCGTGCCGCGCCTCATTCCGGGAATTTGTTGTTCCTTTCCGGGAGGACCGTTTTAGCAGCCACGGTTTTAGCATCCCTCGCCCATCTGTTCCCCTCTGCCCTTCCCCACCCGTCCCTGTCCCACAGACCCTCCTGCTCTGCGTTGAAAGCAAACACCCCACCAGCACACCGCACGCCACACTGAATCCCACCGAGCCCGCTGCACCTTCGCTGCGAACTGTCAGCTTGCTGACTGTCCGCGGCGCCGTCTGTCAGCTCGACGAGATACCATGAGACACTGCGGTAAAGCAGGAGACGCAGCGCCGAAACACTACATCAACTTCGAAGCGCCCCGCACATTAAGAGTCGACCAGACTTGGCTGGGACTTGAGGCAATTCGCACCATGAACGGACGGCACAAATATAATACGACCACCTTTCCAGTGATACAGAGGTTTGGGGGGGAAGGGGAGAACTGACAACAACTGCGATGACTGTGATGGCGATGAGAAAGCGACATTGCACGGTTACGCTGATGGTGAGAACGAATAGTGGTGATTGTAATGAAGGTGCCACAGCCGCGATGAAGCTCACACCACATACATGCGACCTCGCAATCGACTCCCATCGATTGATCTCACCACCAATTTCACAATCGATCTCATTATCGATCTCAGTATCGATCTCACTATCGATCGGACTGCGGGTCTCACAACAAATCTCTTTCGATCTCATTATCAATCTCTTCACACATCTCACCAACGACGAACGATCTCACACCGAGTGGCGTTCAATACGATCGGGCCACCAGCGGGACAATATCGGAATATAATCGGAACACCAGCGGGCGAAATTAATGCCACCACAACGGACATTCGCTCTCGACATCGATTGCACTACCGGTCTCACTATTAATCGCAATATCGATATCACAAGAGCACAAGGGATCTCACTACTACCTCACAAGAAATCTCACGAGACACCATCGGGACATCACGATGGGGCACCCCGAACCACGGCGGGCCCCCCCCCAACCAACGATCTGTTGTGCTCGATCTCGCTATCGATCTCACTATCGAGTTCTCGATCACGATCGAGCACGCAATCGATCTGACCATCGATCTCACGAGCTACAATCGAGGCACCACGGTGGGACACCCTGAGCCACCGTCGGGACACCCCGCGCCACCGACGGGGTACCCCGCGCCTCCGACGGGGCACCCCCGCGCCACCGACGGGGCACCTCGGGCACCCGCGCGTCCACCAAGGGGGGGGGGCGGTCAAGCGGCTCCACGGCCCCCAGCCACGGCGGCTTCATTTCTGTCGCGCGCGCACGAAGCTTCGCCCCCGCCCGCACGACACGAACACGAAACCGAAGCCGATTTCCTGGTGGGAGGCTCTCCGTTCCCCTGCGATCTCACCCCCCAAACTCCGACAATATGGTATCTGGGCCCTGTCCAATGGTGCTTCGCAGAAGCGCCACCGGACAACATAGATTGCATGACTTTCCAGCGGGTTCTGCGGGCGACAGTTGCTGATAAGTATCATGGCGAAGGGCCCAACCATATGCAATCGTGAATATCGCCTTTGTGTGCATCGCCTTCGGTGGATCTCGTTATGGGGCCACGAAGCGCGTGAAGAGTATGCCGAAATGGGGCGGGGATGCATGCGGGCGCAGCCATTGGGGCCTTCGGTGGCGCTCCACATGGGGCCACGAAACGCGTGAGGGGTGTGCCGACATGGCGAGGGGCCGCCATGCGTAAGTCGACCTTCGGTGGAACTTCCTATGGGGCCACGAAACGCGTGGGGGGTATCCGAAATGGGCGGGGAGAGACGCAAGCGAATGTCGACACTGGGGCTTTCGGTGGAGCTTCCCATGGGGCCACGAAGCGCGTGAGGGGTGTGCCGAAATGGGCGGGGGGAAACGCATGTGATCACAGCCAGTGGGGCCTTCGGTGGAAATCCCTTTGGGGCCGCGAAACGCCATGCTGGGTGGCGCGGGACGAATGTGTTCACAACCACTGGGGCGTTCGGTGGAGCTCCCTATGGGGCCTCGAAAACGCCGTGCTGGTTGGCGCGGGACGCATGCGATCACAGCATCTGGGGCCTTCGGTGGAGCTCCCTATGGGGCCACGAAACGCCGTGCTGGTTGGCGCGGGAGGCATGTGATCACAGCATCTGGAGCTTTTGGTGGAGCTCCCTATGGGGCCACCAAACGCCGTGCTGGGTGGCGCGGGACGAATGTGATCACAGCTACTGGGGCCTTCGGAGGAGCTCCCTATGAGGCTACGAAGCGCATTGCAATACTGGGTGGCGCGGGACGCATGTGATCGCAACCAATTGGGGCCTTCGGTGGAGCTTCCTATGGGGCCACGAAGCGCCGTACTGAGTGGCGCGGGACACATGTGATCACAGCCAGTGGGGCCTTCGGTGGAGCTCCCTCCCAAACGGGCGACGAAACGCCGTGCTGAGTGGCGCGGGACGCGTGCGATCACAGCCACTGGGGACTTCGGTGGAGCTCCTTATCGGGCGACGAAACGCCGTACTGGTTGGCGTGGGACGCATGTTATCACAGCCACTGGGGCCTTCGGTGGAGCTTCCTATGGGGCCACGAAACGCCGTGCTGTGCGCGGAGGGCAATGGCAGGAATGGGAGGATGGGAAGGAGGGGCGAGGAGGAGAAGGAGGAACGCGGGGGGCTGTCTCTTCGAAACGAGGACCCAACGCCACAAGATGGTTAGGAAACAAACGGACAAACTGAAGGCCACCCCAGGGCCACCCGTGTACGTTCCTAGACGCGGGCGCTTATGAGGGATGCTAGCGCGTGTTCAGGTCTGTGACGTAGTACTCGTGGCTGTCAGCATTATTGAGTGCCCCGTTCGGATTAGACTGTGCCAACTCCTGGCAGTCGCCACGTCCGTAGATCACGTCGTCCCGGTTGGAATAGGGGTGATGCGCGGCCTCGTGGTAGAGTACCCCGGTGAGAGGATTATAGTTCAAGGAAGCGTCACACATGAACATGACGTACTGCCCCTGGGAATTCTTCATTCCCGGATACACGTAGGCTAAAACCCCGGGCATCTTGTTGCACTCTTGCTCATCCGTCCGGATCTCGCAACTCTCGAGTACTTCGATGACGGAGTTGGCGGTCTGTTTGGCGATCTGCCGTACACGACTGCTTTTACTGCCAAACCACTTTGTCAGGAGGTCCGACCGTTGGTTGTTGCCGATGTTGCGAACGGCGTTTGCGGCCCATGCCTGCGCTGTCGCGACCTTCTGGATGGACTGCACCACCACTTCGGCGTCGTCGGATCCCATCTCGCTGTCGACATTGTAGTCCCCGCCGTCGCAATTTTGGCAATCTGTGCAATCCGTACCAGGATGGCAGTACTCTTCGCCATCACAATAGCCATCATTTGCCCATATACAATCGTCGGTGTTGCTGCTGCAATCACCCGCAATCGGTGCAGTCCGTACCGTGAGTGCACCAACCGTTGTAATTGTCACACTCGCCGTCGTTCGCCCACATACAAGAATCCACCGACCCGCTGGGAAACCGGCGTGATGGGGTGCCGATTCCGCGATTTCGAGGGGGGAAAGAGGGAGATGGCGGGGTTTGGGCACGCGGGCTGGAAACTTGCCCAATCCTTGGCCGTGTGGTATGGGCTCACCGGCCACAGCCCTATGGATAAGGGGCGGCTGTGTGCGGATGCCCCGCGCGGAATGCGGAACGTATCCACGTAATCGCGTATCCATGGGATCGCGCCTCGGGATCCAGACCGCCAGGGCATGGATAGGGATATGCTCGTTGCTCGTGATGGGTACCTGAGAGGGGCTGGGAAGTGGATGGGGCACCCTGGCCTGGTAAGACGGACTCATGGCGGCACGTGAGGGTGCCACTCTGCCGCCAGAACTGCCCAGATGCCGCCTATGGGAGGACGGCCCAGAGCCTAACAGCGAACGCGAGGCCTAAGCGAGGCCCCTCAGACAAGCAAGACCATTGCTTCAAGATGCTGGAGATCCCAAAGATTGCCAAAGACAGCCGCAAGGAGGAGGGGGACGTGGAATAGGGGAAGGAGGAACAGGAGGATCAGATCAGACTCCTATGGGGGCATAGCTCCACTTCATGACACTAGGAGGAGGAGGAGGAGGAGGAGGAGGAGGAGGAGGAGGAGGAGGAAAACAGGGAGGGATGATGAGAGAGCACGAGGAGAAGGAGGAGGAGGCGGAGAACAGGGAGGGGTAATGGGAGAGCACGAGGGGAAGGAGGAGGAGGACGACGAAGGCAGAGGAAAGGAAGGAAGGAGGAGGCGAAGGAGGAGGAGGATGAGGAGGAGGAGGATGGAGGAGGAAGGAGGAGGAAGGAGGAAGACGAGGGTGAGGAGGAGGAGGAGGGGGAAGGAGGAGGAGGAGGAGGAGGAGGAGGAGGCGGAGGAGAAGAAATGAGGAGCAGCCGCAGCAGGAGTACGAGCAGGAGCAGCAACAGCAGCAGGAGGAGGAGGAGGAGCAGGAGGAGGAGGAGGAAGATGAGGAGCGGAAGTAAGGAGGAGGAGAACAGAACAGAACAGAACGACTCTCGGGCGCCTGTGTCGATGTTTACCGGCAACAACTCGAAATAAATAAGTGGCGCCTGAATGGCCTCGGGAGGCAACTTCGCCCATGTCCCGTGACCTGCTGGCAATGGGAATGAGTGCGCGGGCCCCTGTCCGCCCGTGGCACGGGCGTGCGTGCCCGAGGGGGACGGCAGCACGACTCAAAACTTACATGGCTCAGAACGGAAGTTCAAAACTCGAAACAAAAAAACTTCGAGGTTTGGGCTTTGCTTTGGCTCGTCGCTTCGGGGCCCGACGTTCGTGCACTGCAAACTGACGGGTGTCGCCAGCAACACCTTCATGCGGCAGGCCCGTCGGAGAGAAACCTACGGGCTGGGGGGCCTCGGAGGAGGAAGAGGGGGCAGCAGCAGCAGCAGCAGCAGACCTCAAAGGGGGACGAGACGGAGACAAGGCCCCCCGAGCCGCGAGTTCTCTGAGCCGAATCGACCCCGCGAGCAAGGGACGACGCGAAACTTCTCGAGCGATCATGGCCACGGTGCGGGCACGCGCCGCAGCCTGGGCGCGTCGTTCAAAAGCGCCCCGTCCCCCACCGCCCACCGTCCGACCCACGCTCCCCCTCCCTTCGTCCTGCGCTATGCTGCTACCTCTCACATCTAGGTAATCCTGTCCAGCAACTTGGACGCGTCCCGCTCCAACTCCTACCTCCTTCTCGCCTCCCACCGCCCGTAGGTACTCCTACAAGGCCCGCTCGAGATCTGGGCACTTCGAATCGACCGCGAAAGTCAGCCGATACTTCTCCGACTTCGACTCCTGCTTTCGGGCCCCCCGCACACGGCAGGCGCGAATCTCCCGCGCGAGCTCGGCGGAAGGGCGAACGAGAACGACTTGCTCCCAGTGCTGCAGAAAGTGTGTTTTGGAGGCCTCTGGGCATGCTGGGTCGCTGCCCGCTGCTTGTAGAATTGCAGTCAACACCTGAAGAAACGGCGGCCCGAGGTGGTCGGTCGACTCGCTGGCTTCTTTGAGTCGCTGCACCTCGTTGTGATGTGCGGCGCCTGCTCTCTTGCCTGCGACCGCGGCCACTTGGTCGACCGCCGGCAAGAATGCGTGAAACACTACGCCGCACGCGCCCCTCCACTCGGCCGCATTCGTGAGAGAGAGAGAGAGAGAGAGAGAGAGAGAGAGAGAGAGAGAGAGAGAGAGAGAGAGAGAGAGAGAGAGAGAGAGAGAGAGAGAGAGAGAGAGAGAGAGAGAGAGAGAGAGAGAGAGAGAGAGAGAGAGAGAGAGAGAGAGAGAGAGAGAGAGAGAGAGAGAGAGAGAGAGAGAGAGAGAGAGAGAGAGAGAGAGAGAGAGAGAGAGAGAGAGAGAGAGAGAGAGAGAGAGAGAAGAGAGAGAGAGAGAGAGAGAGAGAGAGAGAGAGAGAGAGAGAGAGAGAGAGAGAGAGAGAGAGAGAGAGAGAGAGAGAGAGAGAGAGAGAGAGAGAGAGAGAGAGAGAGAGAGAGAGAGAGAGAGAGAGAGAGAGAGAGAGAGAAAGAGAGAGAGAGAGAGAGAGAGAGAGAGAGAGAGAGAGAGAGAGAGAGAGAGCGAGAGAGAGAGAGAGAGAGAGAGAGAGAGAGAGAGAGAGAGAGCTTCGTCAGAATGATTACGAGCTGCCGAAGAACATCTCCTCCTTTGCCTCCTGCCGCCTTCTGCGCCTGATCCACCGCCCTCCTCGCCTTCTGAGCGGGTTCTCCTTGGCTGGCGCTGGCGGCGCCCTCTAACATCCAGGCCGGGCGCTTGTCCATGGCCCCCGCGGGAACGAAGCCAGGGTGCGCGGGGCTCTGGGCAAGGGCCAAGATGACTACGCATGTGCACCTGCAGAGCCTCGAAGCTAGCACCGTAAAACACGCGTAAAGGACACTGATAAGGACTTGGAACCGCACATGCTTTAAGATGCCGAACGTGGACGCCACTGCAAAAACCTCGGGCCGGTGAGTCACGAAGGCGCCGTTGGCATATTGCGCGAGTAGAGGGCGTGATCATACATGCGCAGCACTGGTTGGTTATGCTCAGTATACTGGATAAGGCCTGAAAACCATGGCGTGCTCTTATAAGCGCGTGCGCAGCGCGACGATCACAAAAGGATAGCACCACGCACGTGCCCGTCACCATCGCACAGCGTGCACCGACATGCCCAGCCATCTCCTGAATCCCCAAGACACTCTGAACAGGCTCACGCTCGGGCCCCTGGTCTGGAGGAGGTACTGCTACAGCTAAAGCCCGACTCCGAAGTTGCCGAACGTCTATCTGAAGGAAGAACTCCCCTTCTCTTCAGAACGAAACAGCTCCAATAACCTGCCCTCAAGCATTCCCAAGAGACCCCGTCCATCTTCAAGAACTCCCAAGGCTTCCACATCTCCCCAATACATGCGAGCTCAGGGGTGTGCCTCGGAACGCAGGTTGCCAACGCTGGTGAACGCAGGCCGACTTTCAAACGTGCCAAAAAGTGCAGCGAGGCCTTGTCGGTGAAACTGACGTCGCCGCACGAGCTCTTTCAGAAAGCCCAGCCGTCGGATGCAAGCCTCCAACTCCGGTTCAACCGCGTGCTAATGGGCCAAGCCGGCCTTGTTCGACATCGAACGAAGGTGCCCAGGAGCATCAGGTTCAGACGCCTGTCCCAGCATCGCTTGTCTAGCATAGGAAGCAACAGTGTTATTCAAGCGTCGATACTCTGCTGCAGAAGGTACATAGGCTTCGACCCCCGAGAGCCCAGCATTGTAAACCTTGCTAAAGAAAAGGCAGCGTCATAATCTGTGTGGAATGCCCCGTAGGTACCAAAATTTGCCCAACGAATAAAACCTGACTGCGTAGCATCGCGCCGAGATTTCAATTCAGCAGATCACCGATGAGGGTGAGAGCTCACCTGGAAGCCTAGCGACTTGATCACCTGAGCCGCGCGCCCAGGAAAAAAGGAGGAACAACAAAAAAAAACGCCCTCTCGAAGAAGACGCAGCGCCTCGCAAGAGCCCCTCCCCACCAGGCTTATGAGGGCACCCTGCTCGCTCAGATTCTGTTTGTGCCCATCTAGGCTCAAGGATTGGTCCAGGTCGATGTTGCTGTGTTTGCTCTTGCTGATAAGCTGCCCCACCGTCGTGAACCTCCTCCCACCAACTTCTGAGTTAAATCGTCGGCATACTTAATGAGAAACAGGTCCTGCATCGTGAGAGAGACAGGGTCGCGCAGGCACAGCAACTTGGAGAACTGATCCCGCTCCTGCTGAGCGCTCGGCCAGCGCTCAACGGCGGGCTCGAAGATGCGCGCGAAGGGGCGAACAACAAAACCATCGCCCATAAGTCCCCCACAACCCGGTCGAAGCGCAACCACTTCATCACACCCCCGAAGCTGAGTAACTGCCCACTGGAAACGTTGTTCTCCAAAACCGACCGAACCAGGCCAAAACATGCAGGGCATTGCTGTGCGCATTGACTCCCAGCTACTAGATCCGAAGGCATTGGCCAGGTCGCGCGCACGCGTGAAGTGCGACAAGCCACTCTTCCACAGGCGGTAGCCACCTATGTGCTGCACAAGTTGGGCCTCCTCGCGCCTATGGTACGCCACGAACCCGCGGTCCTGATCCTTGAAGTGCCCAGGGCCCCGTTGATGCATTAGACGAGTCATGAAGAGCTCCCCCATAGGATCCAAAAGGTGTACACATCGAGTCTTTCCATCAAGCTTTTTTTTTTTTTTTTGGGGGGGGGGCGCCTTCGCTGCAATGCCATCGAATAGGGGCCCATCCAGAGCTCCGAACCAGGGAGAGGCACTTAAAGAGGAACTTCTGAAGCTCAGGAACTCGGAGTCCTTCGGGAACTGCCCAAGACCCGCTTACCCTCGCTTACAATTGCGGGTAGGGTGTAGTACAAGCCACCACAGCTCAAGCGGAGGTGCCCAGGCAGGCCCAGCACGACGCTCCCCCGCTTTCAAAATAGCCCGTCGAATGCCGCGGTAATATTGACCTGCAGCCTTGCGCTCTTGAAACGTAGGAGGAGAGGCTGGAGGAGCACGGGCAAGGAGCCAGTCTCGCCATCCTTCCCAGCTAGGTACCTGTGTAGCACCCATTCCCCCATCTGCACCAGCCCTAGCAAATTCAGCAGCAAGCTCCGCAGCGCTGGCAACAACGCATCGCAAAGCTTGATAGTCTTGCCGCTGTGGGCCGTAGCGAGTGCCACCTGCACGGCGTCAGAGGCGCGCCGCCTCCGCCAAGCGGCGCTCCTCCCAGAGTCCATGCGCTTCTTCAATCTGAGCAGCCTGCCGAGCACGAGCCCCACGTCGAAGGCGCTTGCCGTTCGCCTTCGTGATGTCCAGCAGCTTGGCCGCCAGTCTAGCCTCTTCTTTTTCGTCGCCAACACGCTCAAGATCCATGCGAAGCTCACGTCGGCGCCGCAATAGCTCCATCCGTTCGTCCGCAAGCGGGTGTGGGGTTCTGGCTGCAGCGCCTGCTCCAAAGCATCGCGCCCCCCCTCATCAATGAGCAGCTGTTTCAAATAGTCAAACGCATGGTCCGTCGTCGGCCGAGACAAGAGACGATCCCGCAGCTCCGCGTCAGCCTCAATGCGGGCCTCCACGGCCTCGAGAAATGGGCGGCGCCCCCGCCCTCTCCGTACAGTAAGCGTAAGAGAACCCAAATTCCATCGTACACGCTCCGCCGCCTGCGAAACAGGCTGGGGTGCTAGCGCATAAGGGAACTTCACATGTACTAAGAAATGATCAGCACGACCTCGACGCCGTATGTATTGCAACTCACGACTCTAACGATGCAGTGGTCCTGCGCTGTGAGCATTCTGGACGAGGGCCGCGGGGACACACATGACATCAATCCAGCTGCTGCCCCCCCGCGGCCCGTAGTAAGTAGGACAAAACCAAAAATAACTGTTGGCCACCTGGAGCACATGAGCAGCAAGAGGACGAGACAGCAATGCGCCAGCATAGATGCCCTTAGTAGCATGAGCCTCCTTCACAACAATGAGGCCGTCCCATTTCCATGATCCATTGATCAGCTCCAGGCCCATGCCGTCGTTGACGTCGGCGCACAGGATCGGGGTAGTGCGCTGCGGGAGAGAAGACAAGCGAGGGCCTATCCAAACCATCATCTCATTCACAGTGCGACGGTACTTCACCAATTCATGAGAGTACTTCGGCTTGGGGGGAAGTACAAAGCGATCACAGTAATGTCAAACATTCCCGACCTGGCCCTGCAGAGAAGGCCACGTCCGCCGATCAGCGACGGGGTGCACTCCGTGCGGATGAGGTGTTCCAGCTTCACCTTCCTTCCCCGGAGAACGGAACACCCACAATGACCATTCGTGAGCTCGCCTGCAGACCAGCCAGCCTCGACTAGAACTCGTCCGAGCACTTCTCGTCGTCGAAGCTGAGTTCCTCGGGCTGCCCAATCAAAGAGACACAATCAAAATTCCGTGTACGATCTGCTATGTCAGTCAGGCGATCCGTCGAAGACGCTTGCAAAGCATTGAACGACCCCGCTGTAATCGGAAAGGATGCCATCAAACATTGTGTGAAAGCCGCCAGGAGCGGAAGAATCAGCACATGTAACTATGCGTGCAACATGAAGGTATGGTATAGAAGCGTGAGTGTGAGTGTCGGCCAGGGGACAGCGCATCTGGGCAATCCTGGCTAAGGAGGAGGAGGAATAGGAGGAGGAGGAGGAAGAGGAGGAGGAAGGAGAAGTAACAATATCCGGCATCCTTTCAAGACGGTCCGATCTAATTTGCTCACGTGTCGCTCAACAAGTACGCCCTGAACCTCTGACTCCCGCCCTCTCCACTTAAGAGCGTACCCCCTGAGGAGGCTCCTTCTTCTCGTTCGAGCTCATGGGCAAAGCCCGACAAGAGAAGACAGGCGGGTCGGGCGGGCAAGCCCGAACGGACTGACCGGGCGAGCGGAGTATTAGCAAATCGAGCGGGTCGGGAGGGCCGACCCTGACGGGCGGGCGAGGAGAGCGGGACATGCCAGCGGGTGGGCGGGCTTCGAGGCAAGCGAACGGGCGGACCCTAACGGGCGGGTCGGGCGGGCGGACCCTGAAATGCGAATCGAACGGCTAAGACATTCAAGCATGATTCCTTCGTAAAACGTGAGGCCTCGGGCGGGAGCGCGACTACAGTGTATTGCGAAGAAACCCCCGGCGCGAGTGCACTTCCCGATTGTCGTCGGCGCAATTCTTTCAAGTCTTTGTCAGGCGAGCGCACGATTCCTGAGCGAGAGCGCGATTCTCAAGTAAGTTGCACGGAAGTCTCGAGCGAGAGCGCGAGTCCGAAATGCATTATGAGGACGTCTCCGGCGGGAGCCGCTGTTGTTGCAGCTGGGGGGCCAGGGGCGCAGTGTGAGGCTCAAGGCGTTCCATGTCTTCACAGGGTGCGACAGCCTAAGATTGCTTTGAAAAAGCAGTGGGCACCTGTGAGGGGGGGTGAACAATTGAAGGGGCCCTGGGACACACAAATAGATACACACAAATGACAAGATTCACCATATTTCCCAAGATGTTCTGTATTTTTGTCTTCCCCCCCACTTCCCATATTCTGACATGTGTTCCAGGGAATCGACAATCAATTGTGTCTGTGTTTTTCTTCCCCTCCTGAACAATACTTCTTCTTCCATCGTGAGGGTGCAGGAGCGAGGGGAGCACCCGTCTGGCCGGGCCTGCGCGAAGCGCAGTGAATCGTCGTTCCTCGAGAGCCTGCGAGCTGTGAGGCTCACGTTCTCGCTTGGCGTGCCAGTAGAATTCGTGTTATCGCTGGGCGTACCATTGGAACTCGCGTTATCGCTGGGCGTGACTGTGGCGTGAGAGACGGACGAGAGCGGGTGAACACGGAACCACTGCGCCACCATCAGCCTCATGACGGGGATCGACCTAAACAGTGTTTTTCGTGTTCGTTTTGTTTTCGTTGACCCTCGTTTCGCCCTCAATCCGCCTGTGCTGCAAAACGAAATCGAAACGAACACGGCCCACGAAATCGCTAAGCCAATGTTTAGATCGACCCCTGCCTTATAAATGCGTCGGCCTTCGTGGGCAACTCAGCGTCATCCAAAGCGGCCAGCGCGTCATAGCTCCAAGTAGCATTGTCCGAACTGTTCAGCTGCTGCGGTTGCGTCACCTTGACGCAGGGATCGACCCAAATCGTGTTTTTCGTTTCCGTTTTGTTTTCGTTGACCCTCATTTTGTCTTCACTCTGCATTGGCTGCAAAACGAATCCAAAACTACAACGGCCCTCGAAATCGCGAAAACACCGTTTGTTGGGTCGACTCCTGCCTTGACGACCTCAACTGAATCCTGCATCTGGCCAAGGGCCTCGGGCGAGACATCGATGTCACAGGTGGGATTGCCCGTCGTCGGATGCGTGTAACAGGCCACGTCCGACACCTCGGGGAGCACCGAATCGTCGAAGCTCGCGACGGTTCGCTCGCACAACTCCTGACAGTCCACCGCGAAAGCGCCACCTGCCAACGCAACTCCGTCGGTCTCTGCGTTTGTCACCCCTATCTTCTCCATCCAATCGACGACGCTGCTCCTGGCGACCTTGGGGAGACCAAAAAGTACCGATCTCGCTACTCCCCGGACCTCTCCCGGGGTGCGCTCTGACCAGGATTTCGAGTCGAATCCGACGGTGGCGACGGGGGCCTCCGAGGAGGCCCAAGAAGGGGAAAACGAGGAAAGGAAAGAGGTATGGGTACATTTTCCTCCTCTGAGACTCGGCGGAAATCGGCAGCCGAGTCGGGAAAAGTCGAATCGGCGGAAATCGGTAGCCTAGTAGGCGGCCTCCATTAAGAAATCGGAGCCAAAATCGGAATCCGAAATCGAATCGAATCGGAATTGGAAATAATCGAAATCGAATCGAATCGAATCGGATGCATCGAAATGAGCCCTGTCCTGGCGACCTGTAGTCCGAATGAAATTTCCGCCGCGTGCAACACGTGAACGTCCGCGTCGGCCGCGCTGCCCCAGAACTCGGGGGTGGAGCTGCTGAAGAGGGCACACGTCTCGCTGACGATGCTGCGGTCGCACAAGGGAGGAAACTCCGCCAGCTTCTCCGCCACCCTGATCACCTCTGGCGGCGCGCGGAGGTTTCTTCTCCTCCTCCTCCTCCTCCTCCTCCTCCTCCTCCTCCTCCTTGTCATTCTCCTCCTACTCCTCCCCCTCCCAGGAGTAGGGGCAGGGGTGACGGCTTATTAGAAGGAGGCTACTGCTTAGAAGGCGCGGTCCCTACATCTCCAGAGAAGGCCCGCGCCTCCTAAGAAGCAGGGGTGCTTCTCAGAAGCCTCCCCCCACCCCCCACCCCCCTTTGCACGTGGGCGAGTTTGAGTTTCGGGACATAACTCGGGTCTCCGGCAGCCGTTCGGGACGATCTGGGCATTTGTTGCACGTGGGCGAGTTTGGTTTTCGGGACATAACTCGGGTCTCCGGCAGCCGTTCGGGACGATCTGGGCATCCCCGGAACGCCCTCGGCGAGGCGCAGCTGCTGGCACGCATGCCGAGGGTGGAACGCCGTCGAGAACCGACGGAGCCGCCCAAAAATCTCGAAACTCGAACATCGAAACGCCTCAACTAGGGAAACAACAAGTGACATAAACACAAAAATTCGGAGGTCCGCGCGATTTTCTCAGATCGGCGCTGGACCCCCCTCCCTGGCGCACGGAGCGCGCCAGGGGCGGCGCCGGAGGCGCCGCCGGGGGGGCCCAACGCGGATCCGAGAAAATCGCGCGGACCTCCGAATTTTTGTGTTCATGCCACTTTTTGCTCCCTTAGTTGAGGCGTTTCGATGTTCGAGTTTCGAGATTTTTGGGCGGCTCCGTCGGTTCTCGACGGCGTTCCCCGAAGAAACGCCTCGGCGCTGCCCTGATCACCTCTGGCCTGCCCGCGATCACGGGGCCGTCCGCCGGGCGGGGCGTGGGGTCGCCGCGGGCACGGTGGATGCCCAGGACCACGAGCAGCGCGGCCAGGCCGACGACCACTGGCACGCACACCAGCGCCGCCCAGGCGAACCTCTTGTCAGGGAGGGCACCTCCTTAGGGGAACAACAAATGACATAAACATGAAAACCACAAGATCCGCGCGGATTTCTCAGATCGGCGCTGGAACCCCCTCCCTGGCGCGCGGAGCGCGCCAAGGGCGGCGCCGGAGGCGCCGCCAGGGGTGTCCAGCGCGGATCCGAGAAATCCGCGCGGACCTCCGAGTCTTGATGTTTATGTCACTTTTCGTTCCCCTACTCCTGGATCTCGCGCGGCACCCCCCTCCATCCGTAGCATTGGCTCAGCAGCATCTTCGCTGGCGGGGTTCTTCGCCGAGGCCTGGGGGTCCATTGGGGCAGAGGAACCCGGCCAGAGCAGAGGAGCCGACCTGTCGTACTGACTTGAGCCAAGGTCTTTGCGGATGACCTCCAGCCTGTCAGCTCGCCCTCCTTGAGGGGCGTTGGGCAGCTGGGTGGCTCTACGCGCAATGCCGCCCTCCCTCCTGGAGAGCGCCCGCTGTCCATCCAGGTGAAAACACCGATCCTGGATGGCAGGACTGGTCCAGCCCGAGGGCTGGTGGATGTGCAGTCTTGGCATGGCCACGACGGCGTGTAACATCGAAACGTGACCACGATAACGCGGGCCAACAACGTGAGCTCCTGCGCCGAAGGCCCCATGGAGATACCCAGAACGCATACAGCATTCCAAGGTTGGACAGCCCAAACAGGAAGAACAGAAAGACACTCCTCCAGAGCTAAGGTTGTAAAGAACTGTCGTGCCAACTGCAAGGCTGGATCCTGTCGTGCCGACACTGACGCTGGTTTCTGCCACTGGGTGAACCGTTCAATATTGAGCGATCGCCGCTAGCCGTCCGACGACGCAAGTCCTTCAAGATTGGCCCGGTTCAAGCCGCCAGACGGGCGGGCACAGTCAGAGGCTGCGGGCATCCCCCATGGACGTGCACGCGAGCACGCAGATCGGCGCGTCCGCGCGCTCGCTGGGATTATCCAGGCGAGGGGCCCAACCAGATGCAGTTGTGAGTATCGCTGTTGTCGGTATCGCCTACGGGGGACCTTCTTGGGGGGCCACGAAGCGTGTCACGGGTGTGCCGAAATGGGGCGGGGACGCATGTGGGGGCGTAGCCATTGGGGCCTTCGGTGGCGCTCCTTATGAGGCCACGAAAGAAAGCGTTTCTTTATGTTCGGCGATGACGGGCGTCATGGGGGGGGGGGGCGGGGGGTGGTATGACGTAACGCCCCCCCCCGCCGTGTGGCTCCAGCACCACAGCCGCGCCCGCGCGCACGACGCGACGAGCGACGAGCGACGAGCGACGACGACGACGACGACGACGACGACGACGTTGACAATGACGACGCGAGCAAAATGTAGGTGGCGATATGCCCCACTGCGCCTGTGTACACATCGCTCGCGTGCACCACAACGCGCGCGAACACCACAACACCTGCGCACACCGCAAGAATCATGTGCAACGCAGCGCCTGTGTACACCACAATGCTTGCGTACACTACAGCGCCGGTGTACGTGTGTACACCGCAGCAAACATGTGCAACAGAGCGCCTGTGTACACCACAATGCTTGCGTGCACCGCAGCGCCTGTGCACGCCACAGCGCCTGTCTACACCACAGCATCCGCGTGCAACGCAGCGCGACTGTACACCAGTGCCTGCGTGCAGGACACTGCTGATAATCGAATGCGACGTTATTCCCTCTTCCCTCCTCCTCCACCTCCACCTCCACCTCCACCTCCTCCTCCTCTTCCTCCTCCTCCTACTCCTCCTCCTCTTCGTCCTCCTCCTCCTCCTCCTCCTCCTCCTCCTCCTCCTCCTCCTCTTCCTCATCCTTACCCGCTGTCGTGCGGGGTGGCGCTACAGCGCACGTGCGCAATTCAGCGCGCAGTGCACCGCATAATGGTCTATTGAATCGGTCCGCTTGGTTCTCGCACGGCCAATTTAGCTGGAGCATCCTGGACGCAGACGGGAGAAGTCAGGGTGATGCGGGCGGACTCGGGAGAACTCGTAGATTCCAGCGGCGCTCCTCTGTCCATAAGGATTCCTTAGTATTGTTTTCTGTGGAATCCAGAAGCGCTCTATTTTGTCATACGGATTCCTCATAACATTCGATATGCAAGTGTGGCGCTGTGTTGCACACGGTTGCTGTGGTGCACACAGGCGCCGTGGTGTACACAGGCACTGTAATGCACGCAGGCATTATGGTGTACACTGGTGCTGTGCTGCAAACGGCTTATGTGGTGTACGCAGGCGCTGCGGTGTACACAACAGCTGTTGTGCCCGCGAGCACGGTGGCACAAACTGACGCTCTGTTGCACGCGGCTGCCGTGGTGTACATCGGCGGTGTGGTGTACACAGGCGCTGTGGTGCACGCAGGCACTGTGGTGTACACAAGCGTTGTGGTGCAGATCGCCACCTACATGCTGGTGCTACCCGTTCTCCGTCATTCCTAGGCATTCCCAGACGCCGCCGGCGCGAAACATGATGTCATCGACCCCCTCCGCACCCCCTCAGATGATTGCCGTGATCGGCCCGGAACAAATAACAGGCTCCAGCCGCGTCCGTGCGCACGACGACGATGAGCGACGAGCCACGAGCGATGACGACGACGACGACGACGACGACGACGACGACGACGACGACGACGACGACGACGACGACGACGACGACGACGACTGCGGGCCAGACTCCTATGCGGATTCTTACGCGGACACCTACGCGGATCCCAGCGCGCACGGCGGCAGTGCCCGGAGCGCACTGGGGGGGGGAGCGTTACGTCATAGGGGGGGAGGGGGGAGCGGGGACCATGACGCCCGTCATGCCCCAAGCAATAAAGAAATGGTCTCAAACGTGCAGCGGGGCCGCCATGCGAACGTCGCCACTGGGGCCTTCGGTGGAGCTCCCTATGGGGCTACGAAACGCGTGAGCGGTATCCCGAAATGGGCCGGGGGGGGGGGCACATGTGATCACAGCCACTGGAGCCTTCGGTGGAGCTCCGCATGGGGCCACGAAGGGCGTGAGGGGTGCGCCGAAATGGGTGAGGGAGAAGCGTACGATCACAGCCAGTGGGGCCTTCGGTGGAGCTCCCTATGGGGCCACGAAGCGCCGTACTGGCTTGCGCAGGACGTATGTGATCACAACCAGTGGGGCCTTCGGTGGAGCTCCCTATGGGGCCACGAAGCGCCGCACTGGCTTGCGCAGGACGCATATGAGAGAGAGAGAGAGAGCGCGCCCGTGGCGCACTCCCAAAGGGGGGGTCCGCACGTACGGTACTTAGTTCGGGTGTGGTACTCATTGGTTGGGTACTCGTTTTGAATAGAGCACTGTCTGCCCCATCCTCCTCCTCTTCTCCGTCTCCACCTCCTCCTCCTCATCCTCCTCCTGCCTCCTCCTGTCTCCGTCCTCTCCCTCTCTCCTCCCGCCTGCGTCCTGCCTCGTGCCCGCGGCTCGCTCGGGTGTCGTCACTTGCGCAGCGGAAATGCCGTTGGCTCCTGGGAGGCCCAGCGGAAGTACGTCTTGCGCAGATCACCATGAGACCTCGCCGCCCCCTGGGGGGCTGCGATCTGCGAAACTGTCGCAACGTTCGTGTGCTCCTGGGAGGCCCAACGGAGGTGCGTCTTACGCAAATCACCGTGAGACCTCGCCGTCCCCTGGGGGGCTGCGATCTGTGAAATTGTCGCCACTTCCGTGGGCTTTTCAGAGGCTCAGCGGAGGAGCGTCTTCCGCAGATCACCATGAGACCTCTCCGCCCCCTGGGGGGGTGCGATCTGCGAAGCTGTCGCCACGTTCGTGGGATCCTGGGAAGCCCAGCGGAAGTGCGACATGCGCAGATAGATCACCACGAGACCCCTGGGGGCGCAGCGATCTTCAGAACTGTAGCCTCCTTCGTGGGCTCCTGCGAGGCCCAGCGGAAGTGCTTCATGCGCAGATCACCATGAGACCCCGCCGCCCCCTGGGGGCCTTCGATCTGCGGAACCGTCGCTTTTTGTTCGTGGGCTCTTGGGAGCCCCAGCGGAGGTGCGTCTTACGCAGACCACCATGAGACCTCGCCGTCCCCTGGGGGCAGCGATCTTCGAAACTGTAGCCACTTTCGCGGGCTCCCGGGAGGCCAGGCGGAGGTGCGTCTTACGCAGATCACCACGAGAACTGGCCGTTCCATTGGGGGGGGGCTGCGATCTGCGAAACCGTCGCCTTTTCCGTGGGCTCCTGGAAGGCCCAGAGGGGGTGCGTCTCACGCAGATCTCCACGAGACCTCGCCGTCCCCTGGGGGGCTGCGATCTGCGAAACTGTCGACACGTACGTGGGCTCCTGGGAGGCCCCAACAGAAGTGCGTTTTACGCAGATCACCGCGAGACCTCGCCGTCCCCTGGGGGGCTGATCTGCGAAACTGTCGCCACGTTCTCGGGCTCCTGCGAGGCCCACCGGAGGTGCGTCTTACACAGATCACTATGAAAACCTCGCTGTCCCGTGGGGGGTTGGATCCGCGAAGCTGTCGCCACTGTCGTGGGCTCCTCTGAGGCCCAGCAAGGGTGCGTCTTACGCAGATCACCATGAGACCTCGCCGCCCCCTGGGGGGCTGCAATATGCGGAACCGTCGCTTTCTCCGTGGGCTCCTGGGAAGCCCCAGCGGAGGTGCGTCTTACGCAAATCACCACGAGAACTCGCCGTCCCGTGGGGGGCTGCGATCTGCGAAACTGTCGCCACGTTCGCGGACTCCTGGGAAGCCCAGCGGGGGTGCGTCTTACGCAGACCACCATGAGACCTCTCCGCCCCCTGGGGGGGTGCGATCTGCGAAACTGTCGCCACCTTCGTGGGCTCCTGGGAAGCCCAGCGGAGGCGCGTCTTACGCATATCACCATGGGCCCTCGCCGTACCCTGGGCGGCTGCGATTGTGAAACTGTCGCCACTTTCGTGGGCTACTGGGAGCCCAAGCGGAGGTGCGTCGTACGCAGATCACCATGAAGCCTCGCCGTCCCCAGGGGGGGGGCTGCGATCTGCGACACTGTCGCCACTTTCGTGGGCTCCTGGGAAGCCCAGCGGAGGTGCGTCTTACGCAGACCACCATGAAACCTCGGAGAGAACGCGTTTCACGGACGGGGGCCCGCCGCCCGCGGCGGCGGCGGCAGCGCCGGCGCTGGGGGCGCTGGACGGGCCCGCCGTGGACAAGGCAGCGGGCCTGGCGGCCGCTAAGCCCCCCTGGCGGCGGCCCCGGGCCGCCTCGGGCGACGGCTCGTGATGGCGCGGGCCCATACCCGCCCCTGGATGCAGTGGGCCTGCGGGGGCTGGTAGGCCAGCGGGGGGCCATGCATGGCAGCCGGAGTTCGCGGCAGGGCCGCTCAGGGCTGGCGCTTCTCTTGTGGCATGTGGGCGATTTCTCATCTATGGCCATGTGACGACGAAGGGAGGAAAGCTCGGAGGGAAGGAGGGAAGGCTATGGTTTGGTGAGGTGCGCTGTCCTCTGCTGTCCATTCCTTCTCGTCGGCCCACACGTGTATGCGCAGTTGCACTCCGATCGCCATCCGTTTTCTCCGTAGACGGAGACGGAACGACTTAGTATTGGTCCTAGTACTGCTCGGCAGTCCTAGCACTGATCGGGAACTCGACGAGGCCCGCGACCCATGATCACCTTGTCGCCGGGGGCCCTCGCTCGCTTTTCAAGCTCAAAAACTAATCGCTGCTATCTTTCTCGGGCGTAGAACTTCGACGACGTTTGCCGGAATTTGTATAACCCCAGTGCTTTCTAGCTCAGGGGACCCCTTTTCCCAAGGGCTTTGTACAGGAACTGTCTCTCGACGTTGACGGATGACATGGCAACAGCGCGCGCGGCCGGCGAGCGCTCCCTCGTTCCAACTACCGCCGCGCAAACTGCGCTCCTCAGTCATTACAGGGACCTCTTCCTTTGAGAAGACCGACTAGGCCTAAGCCAATCGCCCGCAGCGGCGAGCGGATGGACAAGACAACGCAGGCAGGAGTGAATGTCACCGACTGCTGGGACGAAGAGGAGGAGGAGGAAGAGGAGGAGGAGGCGGAGGGGGACGACGCGGTGGAGGAGCAGGGCGAGAAAGGAGAAGGAGAAGGAGGAGAAGGAGGAGGAGGAGATGGAATAGGATATCGGACGAGGAGGAGAATAATAATGATGATGATGATGATGATGATGATGATGATGATGATGATGGTGATGATGATGATGATGATGATGATGATGATGATGATGATGATGATGATGATGATGATGATGATGATGATGGTGATGATGATGGTGGTAGTGGTGGTGGTGATGATGATGTTGATGATGCGATGATGATGATGATGATGATGATGATGATGATGATGATAATGATGATGATGATGATGATGATGATGATGATGATGATGATGATGATGATGATGATGATGATGATGATGATGAGGAGGAGGAGGAGGAGGAGGAGGACGAAGAGGAGGAGAAGAAGGAGGCGGAGGAGGCTGAGGAGGAGGACGAGGAGGAGGAGGGCGGGGCCGCAGGGCGGTGGCACGCCCAGAGGCCGACCGTCTTGCCCTCGTGGGAGACGGGCCCCGCCTCCGCACGCCGACGCCCGCCGCCACCCGCCGCGGCGCAGGCGCATCGCGGCCGCGGCCGCTGCCGAGGCCGTCGCCGCCGTCGTCGTCGTAGTCGTCGGCGTCGGCGGCGTCGTCGTCCTCTCAGTCGGCGCAGCCATGGTAGTTTTGGTGGTGGTCGTGGTGGTCGTGGTCGTTGTTTTTGTTCCTCATCGTCCTCCTCCTCCTTCTCCTCCTTTCCTTCCTCCCTACCCCTCCTTTCTCCTCCCCAGTCCTGGCTCCTCCTCCGCTTTCATCCTCTTCCGCATCCTTCTCCTCCTCCTCCTCCTTCTCCTCCTCTTCTTCTTTTCTTCTTCCTCCTCCTCATCCTCCTCCTCCTCCTCCTCCTCCTCCTCCTCTCCTCCTCCTCCTCCTCCTCCTCCTCCTCTCTCATCCTCATCCTCATCCTCATCCTCATCCTCATCCTCATCATCATCATCATCATCATCATCATCATCATCATCATCATCATCATCATCATCATCATCATCATCATCATCATCCCTCCACTCTCCTCCCTCGGCCCTCCCCCCTTCATTTGGGCATGCACCCGCGGAAAGCATCAATCGAGACAGAACGCCCCCCTCCACTCCCCCGTCATCCTTCCCCGCCTTCCTTTCTCCCTCCAAACCCTCCTCCCTCTTTTGACTGGGCGGCTATGCAGGTGGGCGCCCGAACCGCGCGCCAGCTTAGCCACCGACGCCTTTCCCGAGCCAGGGTCGCTTAGGAATCGGAGCCAAATAATAAACAAATCAGACACACATTCCCGAACGAGGATCGCGAAGGGAGAGAATCCGACAGAACGCCAGGCCTCCCTCACGGTCACGCCCGTGTAGCGGTCGCGTCTTTTCAGGATACGGTCTCGATACCGGCGCCGACTCTCATGGGACAAAACCCCTCACGTAGCGGGCCGCCACACTCCCGAAACAACATTTGGCAGCCGGATCGGGCGAAAACAACAAAATCTACGCACGACATCGCCCGCACTCTTCCCAACATCATGCTTTCGTGGAGGAGGCGGGCGGGGCTGGGAGAGGGTGGGCGGGGGTCGCTTCGACGGGCGGCCTCTGAGGCCGCGTTCCACGCAGCGTCAATCACACCCTCGCCGCGAAGTAAGGCTTCGAAGTTACGACGCGCTCTCCCATTTGAAATGCCCCCCCCTCCAGCGTGGACATGTCATGTTTCGTGTTCAGCGTGTGCGGGCCCGGCAGGAAGTTTGACCAGCCAAGGGCACGACACAGGCGCAGCGCTGCCACTGGCCTCCTTCGGCCAGCTTAAATTGGTGGCCAAAGCCGTGGACGCGCGCAGCGGCTGGGCGGCGACTCCGTTCTCCTTCCGAAACCGACTGGGCAAGGACGGGAGGGAGGTGGTCGCCGCCCTACTGCTGCTGAGCTCCACTCTGAAACTGCGAATATACCTGAGGATCCGGCGCCGCAGTTTACAGGCGGTCCCCGCGTGGTCGAATTTCCTCCGTGGAAGGCGCGCGGGGCTCAACTCATTCCCTCGCGCGCTTGTCCGCCGCCCCATTCATGAGGTAGCGTCGAGCCCCCGAGGGCCCGCCGCTGAGGAGCAGTCATATGGGACTTTCTCTTGACAACGGGCAGAGACCCCCTAGGCACCAGGCCCCAGTCATCCAGTGCATCCGACACCAGACGCCAGAAGTGACCTGAAGCAACACAGCGGGCTCTCGCTTTGAGGAGGCCATCCGCAATCCTTTTGCAATCGACAATGTGCCCTTCGAGGTGGACCGTGTGTTCGACGGCCCGGGAAGCGGCCAAATCTTGCAAATGACCGAATTCGGGCGGGCGAAACGGACGTGACCGAAAGTGGACTGGGCCTCCGAAGTCTTCCCCTCGCACCAGGGCGCCGCCGCAAGACCGCCTACAGACGGCGCCTCGACGTCGGATTTAAAACGCCGCCGCCCGTCGCCACCTACCCCGAGAGGACGGGACGGGCGCCCTCATCCCCAAGCTGGACAGCGTCGGGCGGGGCTGGCACGCCAAATCCAACTACAGGATTTGCAATGAGCCCTCGAGCCCAGTGCATCTCATTGGCAATCGTCTCATCACTCGCTGCTGCGGCGCAGAACTCGAGGATATCACGGAAGCGTTTTCTTTCCTGGATCGGAGAGGCGCTCGCGCGCTGATGCGCGCGCATCCGCCTCGCAGTTGTAGTAAACGTGCAGCAGGGGGGCCCTGGGGCCCCTTCGCGGAGCGGGCAGATGTCCGCGTCGACCTGGCCCGTCTCGAAGCAGCGCGTCTGCGGCGCGTGTCCCCCCAACGCCGCCGTTCTCATGCAATTGGCGCGATGTCTCGCCCAGTATTGGTCGTCCTTCTTGGCGCCCATGACCAGCGAGCTGGCAGGGGGGCAGCCGCGGCGCTGGCCTCATGGGCGACCTCTCATCCGTCGCATGGGCCCAGTCGAAGAGCCCCTGGGCATTGATGGACCTCGTTGCCTCGCGGATCATCTCCGCGGGCGGCGCCTCGCGGACGTCGAAAGAAGAGGCTCCCCCAGCTCGCTTGATGCGCCAGGGGGCCGCAATTTGCAGCTTAGCTCGCGAGCTGCGACTATCGCAGACCCTAGCGGTCCTCTCGCCGCCTCCCGCGCGTCAAGGCCACTAGCTGCCGCCGTCGGCGCGCGCCTGATGCCCCGCCCCGGGGCTGCCGCCCGCCGCGCGCGCGCGCCATGAGCTCGAGTCTCTCTGGGTGGCCCTGAGCCTCCCGGGCCCGGGCCCTCGAGAGGGGCCAGTCGCGGCTGCGCGGCTCCGCCGGCGCGAGACGCGGCCGCCGGGCCCAGAGTGCAGGGCCTGAAAGCACCAACCCCAGGGCGCAAAACTCGACGCTTCTGCTCGACAGAGGACACGATCGAGGCCGAGGTGCCCCTGCACGAGGCGCCGTGAAACGATGAAGGCCTTGGCGACGCGCTGGGTGACTTGCCGAACTCTAGCCCCGCGCCGCTTCGACGCAGCCGCCTTCGACGATCGACCTCTGGCGACGCGCGCCCTCTTGTCGCGATCGATGTTCTTCCGTCGCCCCTGCGGTTGGTAGCCCGCTCCCAACTGTCATTTGTTCCCTGGGCATCTCTGCCCCGGAATCTCCATCTCTGGCATTAGCTCGCCGGCCAGGCCCTCTGAGCCGGCGGCGCGCATCGACTTGCGCTGCTGGCCCCGTAAGAACCCCGTCCCCATCGTGTCCTCCAGGGGCCAGGTGACCGTGGCGACCGCCTCGGGGAAGACCCCGCTCAGCTGCTCGCCGGCGCCGACGGCGCGGGTCGCGACGTCGCCCGCGTGTTCGGCGATGTTCTGCTTAGCCCTTGACTATGCCTGAACCGGGTCCCGGCCCAGCATCGGGCGCGCCGCCGCCTTCGAGCGACGGCCGGCCAAGTTGGGGCCGGCCGGCAGGCCCGCCAGCGCGCGCGGAACGGGCGACTGCCCGCCCCCTGCGCGCAGCCCTCGGGAAGGCGAAGGGCCCCAGCGACAGCGCCAATGCGCCCGCGGGAACCTGCTGCAATGCTCCGAGGTACCGATTTTAACCTATAGAAACGCATTGGCAAGCGTTCTCGAGGTCCAGCAGCGCAGTCATAAAGTGGAGCGGCGCGCCCTGCAGCGACTCGCCATCCAGCGTCGATCTCCGCGCCGCTCGCTCGCTACTTCTGCCGGGCGCGGCCCGGCCGAAGGGCGGCATGCGCTCTCCCTCGTCGTCGAGTGAGAAGGTCTCTCACCGCCTATAGTAAATGCGAATCGGAGTGGGGAGCAGGTGCACTGCCTGCCTCCGCCGTTCTCCTTCGCGACCAGAAAGAGGATCAGCGCGCGGATCGCGGCGGGCCGCGAGCGGGGGGCCTCGCGCGCCGTGAAAACTGGGCCAGGCAGCTCAGGCAGTCGTCACTGACCTGGGCGAGGCGCCCGCAACGTCAGCCGCCGACGCCGAGACCTGTCCGCCACTTATATAGCTCCTGCGCGTGGCCTGTAGCTGGCTCGCCTCGACGCGGAGAATCTGGCGCGCCCGCTGCCGTCGCCAGCGCTGGCGACCCCGTCTTCCTACCAGACCTTTCTGGGTAGTGACCACGCCCGACTCTCCGCGTAGTCTCGCGCTAGGCGGACTCGACCAGGTTCGCTTTCAACGTCGCGCCTTGCGCAGGTCGCCCCCGGGCCCCGGGCGCGCGTCGGACAACCCGTTGCAGCGCGCATGCGACCTGGGCCTTTCTCGCTGGCCCCCCCGCGCCGTCGCCCTTGTCTGCTGGATCACATGATGAAGTTGACTACCCTCGCGGCGGCGGCGGCGACCGGCTCGCCGCCGTTTGCTCAGCACTCCGGAAAGATCGGGGCCCCAGCCTTCATCTGTTGCCGGCGGTGGTCAGTGCGCAGTAGTCGTCGCCGCCCCGCGCGCAGCCGGCGTCGCATCTCGACCCGGTAGCTCCCTGTCGCGATGGGGGGCTCTGTCTTGAGGCGGGGCTCGCGGCCTTCCCGAGCTGGGCCTTGGGGCTGCCTCTTAGCGCGCAGCGCGGCCACGTGCAAATCCGGACCGGTCTCCGCCGCCAGGCCCTCGCGGGGCCGCGGCCAGCAACTGCGCCGCAGTGCACGGAGAGAAACTGCCTCGCCATAACCTCAGGCGCGACAGCCCGATCTTGGCACTTCGCAGCCTGAGCTCCGCTCCAATCGAACAGGCCTCTGAGCTCGGCCTCCGCTCCGACGCAGAACTGGGGCCTGACCGCGTCGAATTTGGCCCGGGCGTCAACGCTCTCGACCCTCGGGCAAGCGACCAGCCGCGGCGGTCGCGAGGGCGGTGGCTGGTGATGAGGCGCTTGTGGGGCCCCCTGGCCGCCTGGTTCGCGGGCGCTTCCCGCGCTCGCCGCGGGTTAGCCCGCGCGAAGCGGCGAGGTCCGCGTGGCGTATTCTCGAATGACCTCGCCTCATCGAAGACTCCTGCCGCGCGCTCATCCATCCAGAAGACGTCGACCACGCTATCGACGGTGCTCTCGACGCCCGTTGGTGAAGTCGCCCATGGCGGCCCATGGCAGTCGCAGCTTGACCGCGCATTCCACAGCGGCGCCCAGCACTTCCGCATTGGCTGCTCACGTCGCCGGCTTCCTGTCCACAACGACACCAAGAAGAAGGCGACTCATCCGACGCCTCGAACTTCCGTGGGCCCGAGGCAGAGTCCCACATCAGCTCCTTCGGATGAAATGTCCCTGCCCGTCTGGTCGGGCGCCGTGCCCGACGTCGGGCGCGTCGCGGGGGGGCGAGGGCAGCCCCGGAGGAACGCCCGACCCATTCCGTATAGACAGCTGGCGCGCCTACAACTTGCCAACCCTTTGCCTGATAAGCTGCGCTGGAGATGTTCAGCCAGTCGGAGGGCTTGCCGCGCGCCTGCGCGGCCACGATGGGGGCGCCGCCCTCGCCGATGATGGTCTGGACCTCCTCCTCCATAAACTCCAGA